ATTTGTAGGAAACACTATAAATAAATAAATAAATAAACTTAAGTTTAAATTTAGAAAGCTAAAAAAGGATACTTGTTTGGTTGACAATATTATTTGATATGTCCATCATAATTTCATCACAAGTGCTATTCGAATCTTCAATATCTTCTGATTTATATTGTATAGAGCCCAAATCATAATGCATGCACACTTCATCTGCAGTACAATTATTACAAGTTAATTGTCTAAAGCGTATTACAAAAGGGTTTGCTTTTGTCCAAAGAGCCTCGTGAATCTTCATGGTACCCTTAAAGGCTTCCAGTGACACAGGTAGCAATGAATCAAACTTTAATATTTCCTCATCGTCTATAGGTAAAATGTTAATGCCCTTCAACGTTTGTAGCTTATCTAATAGGGTCTCGTAGTTGGGTATATCCTCTCCTCTAGCCACAATATTATCAGCGGTTCTCTTCACACATCCACCTATTCCATCTGGCGCTCCCTTGCCATGGTGGCTCTCAAAATAATGCCATCTAAGGGAATTAGTACACAGGGATTTAGCAATCACTGTCAAAAGGAAAAACATTTTCTTGTTTTTATATTGGGTACTTGGCCCATCACTCAAACAGTGGACTTCATTTAAGATCGGGTATTTTCGTTTTATATCATTTATTATAGGACTTAAATGAGCACATATTGCCGATGGATCATGCCTCATTGATTTGGAGAGAGTACAGTATGAAGTTACGAGTGGTTCAACTTCGTCTTTTGCCTGCTGTGTTTTCTTATGATATGTTACAACTGTGTGCAATGTGATCTGTGGTTTTGAACCTCCGAAGTGGGCAGATTGCACTTCTGTGGAATACTTACAACCATAATTTTCCGAGAAGTCCATGTGAATCAAAATATCATGGCCCGAAAGGTTCTTTTTTATTTCTTGAATTTTTTCGTATTGATGAAGCATGTTAAAATGATGGGCAAAAAAAAATGGCAAGCTCTTTTGAAATTCTAGTACTAATTCTTCTTTACTACAGTAAATGGTTTCCTTAACTTTTTTAACGCAAATCTTTTCCTGTTTTTTTACTAACAATTTCTCCTTTTTTAACACCCACTTTTCATATTTTACATGCTCACTAGAATTGTAGTCTACAAATTCAACATTTTTGGTTATACATTCAGGACATTCTCTTTTAAAACATGCCTCTTTTATTTTACCTTCTGCGGAGCATGTAATACTTTTGATAACTTCGTTGCTGCTGCTTTCTCTAATAATGTTGTAAAATTTTAATTTTAAAACTACATACTGGAAATTGACATGGGTTTCACACAAACATGTGTCACGATCTTTTACATTTAATTTAACAACCCAAAAAGGTTTCAGCTTACAGAAGAAGTTATAACTTACTTTTGAATCTGGATAAGTGGAACAAAATTTGGCGTGTAACTCTTTTAGGGAGTAGTTCAAATACCGCTTCTGTTTCTTTACTTTTTTAAATGTTATAGTTTCTTTTTTTCCCGGACACATTCGGCTTGAATCATCATTTTCATAAAAATTTCTGATTTTTTTTCGAACGTCTGTCCATTTACGATCAAATTTGGTTTCGCATTTCTTAGAGTATAGCAGACGCTTAGGAACTAACATTTTAAGTCTTTCTTGAAATCGGTATTTTTTTATTACTTTTCCTGAAACAGTTGCCAGCAATTTTCTTCTAGATTTTCTGTTATTTTTGGCCAAAATATTTTTTTTAATTTGGGTGGATAAAACTGACCCAAAAAGTAAGGCTTGTTTAACCTCAGTAGAAACTGTTTGACCATTAATCATTCTCTTAACATTAGAGTTAGGAGAATCTTCGTCTGGGTCCCGATTTCTATAAAGCCTTTTTTTGTATTTTTCTTTTTTAGCTTTTTGTTTTTTTAGTTCTTTCGTTAGTTTTTCAATTTTTAATCTTAACTTTCTTCTGTTCCTTCTTGATATCTTTTTACCCGCTGTGGATCTCCCTGAGGTTGTAGGAGTTTCGGAAATATCAGTTTTGTGCTTGGGGGTCTGCACATAACTTTCACACACTGATACACGAATTGTTTCCAAACTGTCTACTTTTTCCTGTACAAGTTCCTGTACTTTATGTTTTTTGTCATAACTCTTTTTACTTCTAGCTCTCCAGTCTTTCCTTAACTTTCTTTGTTCCCGAGGAGTCAGTTCATTGATGGATTTTATCTTGCCCTGTTCCTTTCTTCTTTGGTATCTTTCTTTCTCCAACCTTTTCGCCTCTTCATACCTTTCTGGATTATTTTTTAGTGCTTCTCTATACTTTCTCACTCGTAGTTTCACATTTTCCTTATTTTCTTGCTCTTTTTTGTCATTGTTGCTTTTTTTCTGCTTAGCCATGTTTTTCTAAAAGTAAAAACAAATTAAAATCTCACCTCCGTAACAAACGTCTCACCTCCGTAACAACAAATTTGTTACGAAAGTGAGGTTACGGTAGTGAGAGTTTTTATGGTTTTTTACATATGTTGCTCTCATTTCAAATATATTCTTTTTAATACTTAAAATAATGAAATCTCTACTTAAAATTACATTTAAAACAAACAAAACATTTTTTTATAATTTAAAAAAAAAACCTGATTTGACCGTTACAATAGTGAGAAAATTGAACTTACCTTATGCAAAAACTGTCACTTAATCACCTGTAACTATTTTAATAAACTAAACACGACTGATTTGCTTAGCCGACAAGAACAGACTGGTCTCTGGACCGGTCTTACAGCAGTAAATAAGAATTTTCCCCTCTCTTTTATAACTGTCGTTTGAAATAATGTCTTGCGTTACGGCGGTGAGGTAAAAAGCTGGGGACATTTTATATATCTCATAATATTGTGAAATGCAATTAAAAAATATATATATAAATGCATTTTTTGCAAGATTTTGAGTTGTTTTAGACTTTCCGCATGTTTTTCTTTTAATAGGATATGAGAAAGTCTAAAAAAAATTAGTCGATATGTTGCAACCTTTGCCTGGGGACACGTTACGAACGTGAGAAATGGCACTTTGCAGAATGAAAATAAAGACTATAAAAATAAAATCATAATATATTAGGTAAGGCCCAGCAAGCACTTATAAGCTTTTACTATTTAGGAAAAGTTTTTTTTAAATTTTACTAGAACAAAGTTAAGAAAGTCGCTGGAGACACAAATATCCCCTTTTTTAAATAATGACCCATATTCGAAGTAAGTTTTTTCGTATAAAGATTTTGATTTTTCCGGCAGCAGGCCGCAATTTTTCGCCTTTTCAGCTGCTTCCTCAATTTCATTCATCTTTAAACTTTAAAACTGACTGATGTCAGTTGACATTATAATATGAAAATTATAACAAAAATTCTTTGACGTAAACGTCTTTAAAAACAATAATATATTAAAAATAATAATATATTAATCGTGCATAAAGTTTTGTATGCATTGCTGGCATAACTGGTTTTTATGGTCCTACGACGCTTTTCTAGCCCTCGCGCTAACGCGCTTGGGCTCGAAATAGCGCCTCGGACCATAAAAACCTTATTATGCCCTTAATACATAAATAACTATTATGCACGATAACATTATAATATAACAATTATAACAAAAATTCTTTGACGTAAACGTCTTTTTATAGCCCTCGGGCGTTATTATGGCCCAGCGGGCTATAATGAAACGTCAAAAATTAAAAACAACAATGTTAGTAACATTGTTGTTTTTAATTTTTGACGTTTCATTATGTTACACCATTTGATATATTCGAAGTAAGTTTTTTCATATAAAGATTTTGATTTTTCCGGCAGCAGGCCGCAATTTTTCGCCTTTTCAGCTGCTTCCTCAATTTCATTCATCTTTAAACTTTAAAACTGACTGATGTCAGTTGACAATTATAACAAAAATTCTTTGACATAAGTAAACGTCTTTAAAAACAATAATATATTAAAAATAATAATACCTATATTAATCGTGCATAAAGTTTTGTATGCATTGCTGGCATAACTGGTTTTTATGGTCCTACGCCTCGGACCATAAAAACCTTATTATGCCCTTAATACATAAATAACTATTATGGTTGTGTTAAAATTCCATTTTGAGTTTAATTTTTAACTATTTACTTCAACATTTTTGCTAAAAAATCTTTATATTATTATTTTATGTCTTTAACTGGTTAAATATTAATAACTGAACAATATTTGTCAAAGAATTTATTAGTAAAATCATAGAATTTAAAACCTGTTTTCTTAAAAATGTTTAATGAGAGCTAGAAGAGTACCTAGAAAAATACCTAATTAAACTAAAATATTGTTATTCTAAGTTTTTTTTAAATATGTTAAGCTTTTCTTAAGTCGGTTAAAAAATTTTAATTTGCTAATTGCTAAACCATCGACGATATTTTAATTTGATTGTTTTGTTTAATTTTTAATAAATTAAAAAAAGAAATAATTTGGAGTTTTAATAAAATATAGGTAGTTTGAATATATTAATGTGTGTAAAAGAATGAATATACACAGTGTACACGATTTGATATGCATTTCTTTACAAAAAAATTCGTAACTTCTATAGTTTTTGAGTCCCCCCCCAAAAATAAGTAGTCAGAATTTGCGGAAAACTTACGGCTATCATCATGATTTTTTTTAAATTTTGTGGCGTTTTTTGGGAATTTAAATTTTAATAAAAAAAATTGATTTTTTTTGAGAATGTTTGAACTAAATTTTGTTATTTTTATTTTATCTTAAAGAGCGTCAAAAAATATGTTTATATGATTTTTTTCGAAATTTTTTGTCTTTCGGGTTTTTAAATAATCGAAAAATAATAGAAGAGACATTTTTTTCTCCATTAAGTACTTTAGTTTCTTTATCGACCCTGAAAATTTAAAGCAAACAAAGTCTTACTCTAGGCCGATTTGGTGTGGACTGCCCCATATGTACCTGACATAACCTGTAATGGGTTCTTTAGATTTATTTACAAAAATTAAAGTAAAATCAGGGTACCAAATTTAATGATTTTTGTAGACAAATCCAATTGGTGGCTATGTGCAGAGTCCTTTACAGTAGCAGATGTAGCCTTGGCAATTTTACTGGAACGTTTAAGTCAAGTGGGACTAGAGGAAAGATTTTGGTTAAATGGTAAAAAACCTCATGTTGAGGCTTACTACAGTAGAATCAAAGAGAGAGATTCCTATAAAAAAACAATTCCAACCACTTTTATGTTTATTAAACTTATTTTTTCAAACCCATATGTCATAGGCATTAGTGTGGCTGCATTAATTGCAATTATTGTTGGAGGTGTTTTTATTGTTAGAAAAGCTGTTTATTAATTATATTTGTGATATGGCTAAGGATGTTTATGCATTTTGAACAAATCTCATTATTTTTGTATAGATAATAACTAATAAATAATATTTAAATTGATGTAATTGTTTTTTAATAGTAAAACCAGCAAGTTTTAAAATATATTTTATTTGTAAATAAAATTTAAAAAAATAACAGCCCTGTCCAGAGTTTAAACATACCACACAATAGCAGAAAAAAATCTTTGTACATTTTATAAATTAAAAACAACAATGAATACCTACATACTGTATGTAACATACATGTTTATAAATTTAAAGCAGTGGTTTTGAATGTATATAAATTACAAACTTTAATTAAGTACCACCCATTTTGCATAAAATTTTCAAATGTATCTGTGATATATAGTACTTATTGTGAAAGAGTAGATAAGACATTTTAATTGGCATTGTAAACATAACAAAATAAATAAAATAACAAAAAATGCAAAAATCTTGTAAATATGATGAAGGCACCTTTCCATGATTTAATATTAATAATTATACTTAAGTACAAAAAAGTTTTAAAGCTACCTTGCTGCCCCTGGTTCAGTCTGAGCTTCAGGGTTTACTGAATAGATGGGCCTTCCCATAAATTTTGGTACTTGGCTTCCATTCACTATACTATTGTTTCTTCTTCTCACAGGTGGTATTGTTTCTTTGGTTGTTTTCTTCATATATTTAAATTCACCTTCCCCTGGAAGTTTTGGAAGCATACTTGGTTGAGGATACCAAACTTGATAAGTAAAGAACCAAGTCAAAATAGCTAGGGCACCTCCAAGAAACTTTTCAATCATAATATGGTAATAAACCATCGTGCACACCAGCATAACATCCCACATTATTTGGAAAACTGTGATAGTTATAAACAATATTCTTATGTAATAAGTATATTTTTCATAATTTACTTGAAGTTGCTGAAACTCAAAGTCACTAAGGTTTCTCAATGGATTTGTACTCAAAGCAGTATCTTTTGTAGATCTTGCATGATCTTCTAATCTTATGTGGTCTTTTATACGATCCCAATTTAACATACATCTTGTTTCTTCAATTAACACTAAACTTCCATAAATAAGAATAAATGAATGGCCAGATATATCAAAACCATTCCACACAATTCCAGCTAACAAACATTCAGTTTTTGTCTTATATTTAGGAGCCACACATCTACCCAATGAGGCTTCAATGAAATTAAAAGACGACGTCCAAAACCACCAAAAGAATGTTGCTACTCCTAACCTTAGTAAATGATGGTAAATAATCTTGTTTTTCTTACCACAGCAATAAATGTAGGAGGTAAATATTACAAATGGTATAAGCAATAACAAGTTCCATCCCCATGCAAATTTAACAAAATACCTATTAAATACATTATCAGATCTGGATAGGTATATTTTTGGAACTGAAGCAAAATCTGCAATCAGGGATATTAGAAACAAGGCCCCCAAATAGATGGCTACTTTAATATTGGTGTCGAAGAAAAGAGACTTCTTGCAGATATAGAGAACCATTAGGGTAAAAATTTCTTTGATGGAGGTTGGCTCACTAGTGGGTTTTGTTCCACGAAGTTCCCCATTGTTTTCGCTCGCTAAAGGTCGGAAATTTAATTTTCTAGTCGATGGTCGTTTATTTGGAAAGGTAGCCATTGTTACTAACCTCCTTTTCCCCAAATGACAAGTAAGCGTTTAAAGGTCAAACAGTTTTATAAGTTTTATAATCTGTTTTCATTATGGAATTCAATGTTGGTATTTCACGTTAAATTAGTAAATTAAATTTTTATATTTATTAAGTACACTAAAATTTATAAGGATAAAGTAACAAAAAAATAAGTAGTGTATTTTAGCGGTTTATATTATAGATGCGAAATACGAATATTCGCATGATCTATGATTTATTATCTATGATCTATGTTCGCAACTCCTATTTGCAAAGTTATGAAGAAGAGTGGTATCTCTTTCTCTTTTATATAATTAAAAAAAGACGACGTGCCTTTTCACGCACGCGATATCCAAAAGTCCGTTTTATGGGATAACAAAAAGTTATCCTATCGCTCGAGTGCCTGATTTATAGATTGCCTTCCTTCCTTCCTTCCTTCCTTTCTCACGTAAAAGATAAACAATACAAAAACCGTTGTGCTGTTTATTTATAGATTCCCGATTTTCCCATTGTTCATCTTTTACGGGAGGAAGGAAGGAAGGAAGGAAGGAAGGAAGGCAATATATAAATCAGGCTTATATCGCGAGAGTGACAATGTCACTTTGCGCTCGAATGACACACAGGATTTTTTCTATAACTGTTCGTTTAGTGGAAAACCGGTGTTTTTATAAAAATGTTTGGTAATAATTAATAATTATTGATAACTTTAACAATTTTATCTTTTGTGTCCTACGAGGCGCAGAGTCACATATATGTATATATTGGTACCACTTTTTGTTTTGCTTCACCTGGCAACACTGTGTTGGCCATTTTTGATGTTGGCAATACCTTTGTCAAAATAGATGACTGTTTCATTTTTTGAGGTTAAGTAATTGTTCACAAAAATAATAGTTTAAAGAAATATGACTGAAAGTGCTGGAAATTGGTGTTTAATTGAAAGTGATCCTGGAGTGTTTACTGAATTAATTAGAGAGTTTGGTAAAATCAGTGCAAAACGTATTGTTAAACATTGATTAAATTATGTTTTAGGCGTTAAAGGTGTTCAAGTTGAGGAGTTATGGAGTTTAGATGGAGAGCAATTTGAAAGTTTAAAGTGTGTATTGAAATTTAAAAAAATAGGTCTGTTCAGAGGCTGTGCACTACCTCCATTAGTGTACGATATTTCCAAAGTTTATTTAACCCTTTGGTAGGAATATTGGAATCGCATTTAACCTATTGCGATTATATGCTGCGATCGGTTGCGGTAAACGCATGTTTTCCTTTGACAACTTTAGTGTGTTTCTAAGGAGGAAGGAGATAACAAGAAGGATTGATAGTTTTCTTTTTTTGTTACCAAATACTGATGTTCCTTCTAACAGACAAAAAAGAGGTTTATATGGAAATAATCCTACCAAAGGGTTAATATTGGTATACAAAGCACTAGTGTAGGTTATTAAAGCTTCAAGGAACAGGCTTTTTTACAGCCTTATACTAAACAAGACACAAGAAATGGGGCAGAGTTTTCATGCCTATTTTTTTTTTTTGATTGGTCAGGTCAATTTTTCTTTAAAAAATTTGATTGAGATTTTAAACATATGAAATATATGGGTATGTCCCATGTCCACAAGGTCTGTTCGATCTCATACTAAAAATAGTAAAAATCACTGCAACACTGCACATCATTCAATGGCGGCCATTTTTAATGTTTACAATTCTTGTGCTTTGGGTATGTACAGATTAATAATCGTTTTAAACGTTGTGTTTCTTACAGAGAGACTTGCAAGCCTTAAAATAGACCTCAAAGTGGTAAGAACAATCATTTTACTCCTCTTTTGTAAAAAATAAACCCTATTCTATCAGGGATGTCAAATGTCAATTTGAAGGTTAATTTAAGGTTATTTTATAACCCACAAATTAACCTTTAAATTAACATTTGACAGCCCTGATAAAATAAAGTTTATTTTTTACAAAAGAGGTTCTTACCACTTTGAGGTCTCTTTTAAAGCTTGCAAGTCTCTCTGTAAGAAACACAACGTTTAAAACGATTAATAATCTGTACAAACCCAAAGCACTAGAATTGTAAACAACAAAAATGGCCGCCATTGAATGATGTGCAGTGATTTTTAGTATTTTTAGTACAAGATCGAACAGACCTTGTTGTGTGGATTGTGGGTATGTCCACAACCCACAAAACAATGTCTGTTCTACCTTGTAAGCATCAAATGAGGCCTTAAAGTTCTAAGGACAACCATTTTACTCCTCTTTTATAAGAAATTAATAAACCTTATTTTATCAGGCCTGTTAAATGTCAATTCGAAGGTTAATTTGTGGGTTATAAATTAACTTTAAAATTGAAATTTGTTAGTTTGATAACAAACATAGATAACAACCCTGATAGAATAAGGTTTATTTTTTACAAAAGAGGAGTAAAATGCTTGTCCTGTATAAACAGCACAAACCCAAAGCACAAGAATTGTAAACAACAAAAATGGCCGCCGTTAAACTCTGTGTAGTGTTGCAGTGATTTTTGGTATGCGCGAAACGAGATACAGACCTTGTTGTGTGGATTGGGGGTATGTCAAAACAAAAAAAATATTAGAATTGAGTTAACTCATTTTAGAATGATAAAATTGTTATTTTAGTCATTAGGCTATGAAGTGAGTCTTTTGTGCTGAGCTAAAAGTTTTAAGGCCAACACATAGAAGAGCAAAGCACAAGAAGACCTAGACCAAAAGGTATACATTATATTTTCAAGTTGTAATGTTTTTCATAATTGAAGTTTATTTGTTAAACTATACATAAAACGTACAATTAGTAGAAAGTGTGTCTAACAAAAGTTGAATTTTATGATTAGTCCAAATTGTGGTGCATAATGAAATCTGGCATTTACTGGCGCTAACAACTAATTATTAGCCCATAAGATGTTATGTGCCTTGGACTTGGCCAAAAAAATCAACCATTATTTTGTTGAAAAGTATATTATTGGGGTGACAAAAAAAAATTATTGTGAAAGTTTGAGTCCATAATATTAATATTAAGAGGTCTATCATCGCAATTTTATTTTTTTTTCCTCAGCAAGTTTTAGGCTCAGAACTCCCAAACAATTGAGTTTAACAAAATTGACTTGAAAATATTTTTTTAAGAAAATTAAATGATCTACAAAAAAGGTTAAAGTGAAATTTTCCGTCAGATGAACCGTTTCCATAAAATCATGCCTTAAAAATTGTTACAGTTTTACATTTTGATCTTTTAAATTGGAATTTTGTAATTCATGTAAAAATCAGTACCCATAAAAAACCGATAAATATTCTTATGGGAAATCAAATGCTTTACAAAAAAAGCCTCTTAACATTTTTGGCTAAATTCACTCAATCAAAAGTTATTCAAGGTTAAAATTTCGTTTTGACTTCAAATTTAACCTTGAATAACTTTTGATGAAGGGAATTTAGCCAAAAATGATAAAAGACTTTTTTTGTAGAGCATTTGATTTTCCATAAGAATATTTATCGTTTTTTTTCAGGGCACTGATTTTTACTGGAATTTCAAAATTCCAAAGTTAAAAGATCAAATTGTAAAACTATACCAATTTTTAAGGCATGATTGTAAGAAAACGGTTCATCTGACGGGAAATTCCAATCAAAACTTTTTTGTAGAGCATTCAATTTTCTTCAAAAAATATTCTAAAGTCAATTTTGTTAAACTCAATGATTTGGGAGTTCTGAGCCTAAAACTTGCTGAGGAAAAAAAATAAATAAAATTGCGATGATAGACCTCTTAATGATAATATTATGGACTCAAACTTTCACAATAATTTTTTTTTGTCACCCCAAACCATATTTTTAATATACTTTTCAAAAAAATAATAGTTGATTTTTTTGGCCCAGTCAAGACAAAATTTTGCGAGTTGCGAGTTTAAACTCGCTCAGGAAAAAGAAATCTGAAATTGCGATGATAGACCTCTTAATATTAATATTATGGACTCAAACTTTCACCATAATTTTTTTTGTAACCCCAAACAATATTTTCGATTGGCCCAGTCTAATGTGCCTATACCAAAATCCATCACTTAAGTATTAAGTGTTGACGACAATAAAGTTTAATTTATAGACCCCTTGAAGATAAACATATTTATGTCAAAAAATAATCAAGAAGAATTTATGAAAATTAATGAATTAGAATTTGTTACAAGAAAAAACATTTCTGCCTCAAAAATTGTTGGAAGTCCAGTATCTTTAAACAATAAATGACTATTTGAAAAAAGACATTAAAACTATCCTATGCCTATGGCTTACATATAGTTATGGCATCTATAAAAAAAATCATAACATGCCCTTTAATCCAATTTTTATAATCTTAAGGGTCTAAGAAGGGTAGGAATGAATCACAAACTTACACTTTATCGAAAATTTCACTTCTAATCAAAGTAAAACGCACAGAAAATAATGAGTGAGAGTAGGACTGCTTAAATCTAGAGGGGATAATATGAATGTCGTTATGCAACAAGAAACCAACCCTCACTTTTGCCAAACGCAGACGTCATTTCAACGTCAGCAGACGAATTATATACTAATTATTATAAAATCGTCCGGTTATTGTGTTTCAGATAAATAATGGTTGTCTAAAAACAATGATATATTAACAGTTAATATTCATGTAATTATACTGCATGTAGCACTATTCATCTCGGGATCCCTATATAGTCTAATTCGTGCCAACTACAAACAACCATTGTGGTGCCTACCTTTTTCTATGGTGCCTACTTATTAAGGGAATATAGTAAACTATTGGCATACATGCGCATCTAGCATTATCACGTGCACCCTGCTTAATTTTTTGCAGAGCCAGCTTGTTAAACCAATTGATAAATTTAATAAATATTTTTTTAACTAAAGAAAAAAGCCACGAGTATAAGTATGAGTATAAGAGTCGTGTAACTGGCCCAGGGGCGGCTTTAACAGCGTTTTTTCTAAAATCTGCCACTAAACTGACCCCATTGCCTAATCTCTCCCAAGCCCCGCACAATAATCCGTTACCCTACGCCGCCACCAGCAACTACACGGCTTCACCTGTTTGCTGGGTGCGAATGTCCACCGGGTCCGGAACTGTACCCTATTTGGGGCTCGAAAACCACATGCGAATAGTTTGAATAACCTCTTCTGGTTTCACCGAGCAACTTTGCTAAATGCCCAGTAGGATTAAAACGACGCACAGTGCGGACAAAAATAGGGTTTTTGGAAAAAAATGCTTTTTTCATAGTGTATATGGTAAATTGTAATGTAAAGGTTAAAAAATAAGAACAACTTTTTAATATGTTATTTTATAAAAAAAATAAAAAAAATAAAAAACTGTTATCTTTAAAATTAAAATCAATTTACTTTTATGTTATGTTAAGTTAAACTAAAGATGTTACATAAAAAAAATACGGTCCGTTTTTTAATTTTTTTTTCATTGTTTTTTGTTCAAATGGTTTTTTTCATATTTTAGGTTTTTTTTAAGATTAGTCCCATTTGCCTAATTTTTTAATGTTTCCAGTACAGTTCATAGACTAAAATTTAGCCACTAAATTACATTTAGAAATGTAAATACAGTCTTGCGCTATGCACGCGCCACCACCACAGAATTGATCAATAAGGGCCGCCCTTGTTTTGATTTGGTCCTAAAAAAGTAACTAGGTACCATGGGCGCCGGAAGGAATTCGTCTAGGGGGGGGCCCTTAAAGTTTTTTACAATTTTGATAGATGTTATTTATAATCAAGTTGTACTGTAGAAGTTCACATTAAACTTAGGTCAAATAAAATATCATCTTTATATGTATATTTACCTATTTATTTATATTGGTACATATTGCAAAAAATACATCACAGTTTTTTGGTAAATATATAAATATAAAAAAATTGTATCGCCGAGGAATCTCCTCTAGTAGTACAGCCGTCTTATGTATACGCTATACAAATTATGTTAAATTAAAATATAATGAATAAATGATAACGATCAGCACTTACCGTCAAATTATGGAGTACTGGAATTTCTGGGTATGAATTTCCAGGGGGGGGGCCGGGCCCCCCCCTGCCCCTATGTAGCGGCGCCCATGCTAGGTACCTATAATATTTTTGA